AGATGAAATTCAAGTTCCCTGTTGAGAAAACAGTTACAACTGCCCCCTCTTTGTCTCAATCACTCTCAGATTCTTGATTTCCAAAAAGTTGGACTACATGTACTACACCTGTTTACATAATGTACATGTACATATATAGGTACATGTATGTACATGTATAGTNATGAACACTGGCTTTTCAAGCCTGTCATAAATATGCACAGAGGCAGACTACATGTATATATAGGACATCTGCAAATGTACATTTATGCATGATAGAGTACAATAATGTACATGTACAACATTTGGACGTTCCGCATGACATTAATCAAACAAATGGGGCTGCATTAATTGCATTCGTGCGATTGTGAAGTTGCTTAAGCAGCTAGGGCCCAACATCTTTTACAGCACTAGATGGCAATTGTCACTATAACTCACAGACATAATCTACATGTAGAAGCTCTTCAGTTTGGAATTTATTGCTTTGTTTATGGTTAAGTGGGAACTCCCTGATTCCCACATTTTCTGCTGCCACCTCGCCTCAGAAGAGCTAAATGGTGAACCTCTATACATGTAAATGAGTGCCAGGAAATACATTGCTAATCAAGGCAGAAAGCATTCAAGGAAGCATCATTAGTGATCGGTGGTGCATGTACAGTACATGTACCGTCTTTCCTAAATTTGGTATAATTGCATAGTGTAGCTCCATAGCTTATGCTTTAAACTTACTCAAAACTGATGGTACAAAAATGACTCAGGCTCTCATCAAGGTGAATGAAATTAGTATATGGACATAAATTATTTTACGGTACATGTACCAATATTAAATTATTAACTCAAAAAGGAAACACAGAAATGATTGCACTGAAAGCTTCCATTAGTACACGTACATGTATGTGAATTATCATGCGAAGGTGAGAAGCATGCATGCAAGATGTATCACATCAAAATCAGATCCACCCACTGGAATTCCAGCCTGACCCAACAAATGATGCAATTAACCCAGCAATTAACAACCTCTACCATTCTTTGCAAAGGCTCTGACAAAACTCCCAATGGAACGTTCCTACATGTACATGTATGCGTTGTGCACGTGAAACCTGTACTTTGTGCAGCTGTGCTAGTGATAGAGTGTAACTTAAGTTATACTCGATGTCACTAATGTTATATTCACATGTATATGTACATCATGTGCATCATTTGGGTTACATAGCATGGGCAAATAGAGAATATTCCTCAAAAGCTACATGTACCGAGATCAAATATGGGTGCATGTAGAACTTCAGAACAAGACTGTACGGCACATGTACATGTACATTGTACTTGTATAATGTACATGACTAATGTGCATGACAAACAAAACCAACCAATAAATATGTTGTGGCCATTTGACAAAAACAGACAAAGGAGGGCCAATACTGATCTGAGAATTCTTCAGAAATGTGTACAAATACATGTATAAAACTACAAATAGGTTGGAAAATTATTTTTGTATTTTGGGGATCATTTTAAAAGAGTCGATTTTACACTTTGGTAAGAAGTGAGAAAATCAGGCCACTATATAAGATTATAAAATTTATAAATTAAAATCTCATGAGAACTTGGAAGTGGGTAGGTAAAATCGAGATTCATGAATCAGAAAAGTGGGAGCTTAAATTTCACTTTTTGTGCAATTTAAGGTGAAAAATATTGCAAAACGCTCAAGGCAAAAATTTAAACTGCACCACGTTAGGGGTCACGCCACGTACATCAATAATACAGAAGAAGTACCTACAGTACAGTCCTGCATGTACAGGTATTGAACCACAGTATCAATTATTTCATATCATTTCAAATTAAAATGCTTGGTTCAATAACTTTTGCTTCCCAAATTTAATTACTGGGTACTTGCTTTATCTTCCACTCGTCTTGCCTTTCATTTTTACAAAATAATGTAACACACGTACAAAGTAATGATAATTATACCTGCCCATGCAATTTTGTATTCACAAAATTGTCTGCAAACACTGGAACAAACAGTTCATGTAAAATAAAGCAAAAGACAAACTCCAAACAAAACGAAATCCAAACAAAAAAGAATGAGACAAAAAATGATAAGGCAAAAAGAAAAAACCAAAGAGATCATTCACTATCTGAATCCACATTAAGTTACTACTTGTAAATTTAAGGAGCTCACTGATGAGCAGACACGAAAAAGTTGTAGGGATGCACGCACAAGTATAGAACAAATAGGAAGTGCATCTGCTGATGAAGAGTGACCACAGCAGAGCATCTGAGCCTCAAAGAGTTCACTGCACTTTACATGCAGATATGCTGCCAGCACTTAAGACTGCTACATGTATATAAATTATAGCCAGGGCAATTAACAAATGCATTATTTTTTCTCGATAGCTGCCATTTACTGCATGGGTATTCCATTGACAAGTGGACAATGGGTACGGGTAATTTAGTTTTGAACCATGAAAAGCTTTGCCGCATGAAGCCATGGTGTAAATATATACAGAAACCCCGAACTTCACTGACAGCTTCAGAGCTGCTTGTGTTTTTGTACATGTACATGAACATTCACACACAATTTACATGTATCTTGTGGACTTTCAACAATCGCGACAATGGGTCCATAGTTAGGTGAAGGGCCATGATTGGAAAGCCTTGTGTTTTCTTCATGTTCTTGGTACAAATCCTACCGGGAAGCCCTTGTATCAAGTGTAATTTATCAATAGCAGAGAATAAGAGGTTGAAGCTGTTTACAAATGTGTACGTGTACCTCGATCGCCGACCCGCTTTGAGGGGGCAACTTCTTTTGTTATTTTGTTTTGGAGTTTAAATAAAGCTACAAATTCACTGTGCTTAATTCACATTAAAGACTAATTAATAGTTCACGTGCACACTCCACCCCTCCCCCAAACTAAAAAAGATGGTAAAACACATGCACCGGTACATCTACATGTACAGTATTGCATGTGTATTTGGCTTATATGCAGACTCTTTATATGGGACCTTCAAGGATGCAACTTTAAGGCAGACAGTTGCGGCTCAAGATGTACATGTACATGTATGTTGCATTCAGCAGATTTGATGGTGGGTGAGGAGGCTCCAGTTGTAACTCATCTCGTGTCTTGCCTTGTGGTATACAACCAGTACTGCTGTGGCTATCATGCATGTACATGTCAAAATATACACCATTATTTGACAACACGTCAAATAAGACTATCCGTGTACATGGTACATTTGCTGATTCTTCATCCATCTGCTCTCTTTATTAATAAGAGAAACACAGCTTTAATCATTTGAAACTAACCTGTAACCCATGCTTTAAGGAAACTGGCAAACATATACTGTAGAGTAAAACACAGTAAAGAGGCCAAGTCACATTAGTAGTGTTTCCACTTGGGTTATAAATTTCTCCCAATTTTGGGTGTTTCATACATGTATGTAAACATAACTGTGAATAGGCACGGAGGTGGTAGTTTGAATTCATTTATTCTTTACTGAGGTAATTTTTCAGGCAAGGATGTACAGATATGTACAAAACTATTAAAAAGTATAATTCTTTACATGATTAATTATAACCAGGACAACAATAACAATAAAAGTCAAAATGAAAATGAGCATGAAAACAACTATCATAAGCAACAACTGTCAGGGTACACGGTAATTTAAAATTAGCAAAAACAAAACAGAATCAAAAGAAAAAGTACAGCACTCTATGAAACAGTAATGCACTTCATCTTCCTACAAAGTTTTCTCCTTGTGCACTCAAAAATGGACTTGCCTGTGATGTTTGGCATTAAAACAGACACTGCTTTATTTTTCAAAACAAAAATCACTCTCTGGTCTCAATCCAGTGATATAGCCTCTACACTGGAACGCATCCTTTGAGTAGGTTGCTTAGTGCTCAAGACATGGCAAAAATGTCAAACCATCAGGGAAACACTGCCGACATGATGGAAACTTACGGGCCTCCTTTACTGTGCACTGTACCATGGACCAATTCCTCCATGAGTCGAGAATCGATCCTATGATATGCCACAAACACGCATGTACTGGATCGCGAAAATGTGATCGATGTTCACGGTGGTACATGTACATGAGTCATGTACTTGTACTCCACCAAGTATATTACTTTGATCTTTTCCATGGTTGTCAATGTCATTTCCACCACATTGTATTGGTGTGACCTTGGGTGTTGGGTTTTGCCTCAGGTGCCATCTGCCCCTCTGGTATACAAAATGCCATTAGACCCTCTGCAGGTAAAACTGTACATACAGGTACGGTATGCAAGTACCAGTATGGTGATGGTGGGAACAATGTAATTTGCCCCTAGCCATAAGGTCACTCCACCTTATTCATAACCAAATTGTTTTCATTTATCTTTTCAAAATGAGGTCTGCAAAGGTTAATTTATGTCAGTCAGCAGTGCACAAGCCCTTTTCCAACAGTATCATGTTCTCGGATTATGATTTCCTCCTGAGAAAATGGTTCCAGTCTTCAAAGCGATCAAATGGTTTTTGTGTCAATTCACAGTGCATGTCCATGGATTTATTGCTCAATCAAACCCTTGTCATTACACCTTGGAGAAATCTGGGGGGGGGGCTATGATGTGCTTATGATTTGTGGTTAGCCAAGCTCGCCTTTCCACTCTCGCTTAAAAAATATTTTAAAAATTCATCTTCTACAAAGCAAATTGATTCATGAGTTGAGTCACGGAAAGTCACTTAAATGCCAATTTGATTCTGAAGGACAGTTGCTAAAATGAAATGGCAAGGGCAGGAAATAGTACGTGAACACAACGCTAATCCATCAGTGCACATCTAGGGCATAAGCTTTACTACAATGTCTGACCATTATTCATTAATAAAGATAAAACTTTAATGATTGCACAGCATCAGGTGAATGGATTCGTCCGTTTTTATGCATGCGCATATCCGGCCCAGCCAAGAGAATTGTCTGACATGTCTGAAATGATACAAAAGCCCCCCCAGATTGTACTTAGAATGGTCCTGAATGTTGCACCTTACCCCCTCTCTCTCTTGCTCTGCAAGCTGGAGGGAACATCGCAGCTCAAACAAAGTATCCCCTCCGAAGATGGAACCGATGAAAACACCGTCACTCCTAAGTGCCTGCAGTACCTACAACAAGAGGAAAATACCAAGCAACATCCAAGTACCCATCACAACATACATGGATTTAATAATGATGCAATAAAAGCTTCGTGTACATCTACGGTGCCTGAACTCTTACATGTGCCTTGGTAATCTCCAAGGAACAGGACACATAGCATTGTACATTTCAACTGTAGATTTTCAAAGCATTAAGTCATATACTGTATACATTTAATGTATTGTACATGGGTATGCACTAGCTATTCCTAGACACATACTGCACACATGAACGTGTACACACAGTTTATTAAAGGCTCTTTACAAAACAGTTGAATCTAACACAAGTTTGACAAGTATCGTACATGGGATATCAATGCACCGTACTGACTAGTTGGAATCAATTAAGCCTATGAAACTAAACCGTGTTTATGAATACATGAAAAGGGCTCAGATACATGAAGTACATGTATACAATGAGGTACAATGTATGCTGGAAGTGTCCAAGAATTGGCAAAATGCATAGAACTTTAGCCAAAGTTCTTTTGAAAGAAGAAAACATGGGTGTGTGTGAAATGTGTGTCCATCAAACACTTGCAGTCAATTAACACTGACTCTATGCACTTTGACTTGATTCCACATACATAACGTACTTGGGACTTCAACTGAACTCAACTACAACACTGCTACATTGATCTCTTGGTTTTTGTAGAAAATATGGATAAATTTTAAAAAGTACCATGTGCATGTACATGTGTACATGTGTGTTTAAATTGGACACTGATCAGTCAACCAGTTTTTTCACTCAACGCAGTTGGACAAAACTACATAGAATTTGTGACTATTTAAAAGTCATGGCAATGTGTGGACATACAAGGGCACATGCACATGTGTAGGCTACATTTACATTGCGTCATGCATAAAAAGCTGTGCAGTGCAAACACAGTATCTTTTTCTCCACCACTGTACACAATTTTTGAAACATTTCTCATGCTGCAAATGACAGAAGGTTCAATGAAAAACGCACTCTCCTACACCATCTGACATGTCTGACGAGGAGTTTCAGCACAGTGCATACTGGTATAGATGTAAATGGTCCATAAACCAGCACAGCGTTTTTAATGTCAGCCATGACATTGCTTTATCACAGAGGTGAGATGAAGAGAAATGTCCACAATACATCCATCAGAGATGTAATTGTGACAACAACAATCGCATGCTGTGAATTTTCGGGGCTTGTATCATCAGTTGCATGATGGGGCACGCATTCTCGAATTCACAAATGACAATGCATTCACAAATGACAATGCATTCACGAATGACAATGCATTCACAAATGACAATGCATTCACAAATGACAATGCATTCACAAATGACAATGCATTCACAAATGACAATGCATTCACGAATGACAATGCCTTCACAAATGACAATGCATTCACTAATGACAATGCATTCACAAATGACAATGCATTCACAAATGGCAATGCATTCACAAATGACAATGCATTCACAAATGACAATGCATTCACAAATGGCAATGCATTCACAGATGGCAATGGTTACCTAAATCTTACACTGGTTTCATTCCAAAAAGTTCAACAAAGCAGCCGGACCTGAATAGTTAATTAAACATCTACAATCCAGTCGTGTTTACGTCAAAATCCTGAAATCTGTACAACAAGAAATCATGCCCCTGGACAGTTTACCAGATTTTGTGCTTGATACATTACTTACACGTACATTACAATAAATATTTATACACATATGGCAGATCGAATTGTACATTTATTTGTACACGTACATTTGTAATCTGGCATTCGCAACTCCACAAAAACTACAAAAAAGTTGAGTTACAATGTACATATGTACATGTCCACGGGATATTCCATTTTACACCGGCCTCATCAACTCAGTTTATTTCCCAAGAGTGTTTAATAGGCACTTGTAATGGTCAGGGAAAGGTAGAGAGAACTGATGACTACATGTAAATGTTTGGACGTTACCGGTACATGTACCTGCACTAACAGCGGTTTATATCACTCCAGCCTAGACACACATCTCATACAAGTTATGAGGACGCACGTTTTTTTTTGCATAGCTAATGTAAAAATTAATATCATGTGGGCATCGCATCTAATGTCTTTTGTCAGTGGTAAAAATATTACACCTGACTGTTAATCTACATGTAGAAGAACGTAAGAAAATGTAGGTGAGTGCATACATCACACCGTAGTGCATTATCCAAAACCACTTTTTTGGGGGGTGGGCAAAATTTGACAAGTGAGACAATTCTTATACATTTTTGCATAGGACAGAAATTATTTTGACAAAGCAAACGACCAAAAAGAAAAACTTGGCTCTTTGGGGAGTTGGTCAAAATCCCCGCTGTTCCCCCCAAAACAACAATCAGACCTGCATGCCAACACCTGTCACACTCAAATTGGAAGAGAAACATCTGTTGCAAGGGACTGTAGATGAGAGAGAGTGCACATGTGTGTACCCGGCATGTCCTTAGTAATTAGAAATGTGCCTTCCACAAGCAACCGTCCTTTTCTTTTCAAAATAAAGAGGGAGAAAGAGAGAGGAAAAAGAATTCCAGTGATTGTGAGAATGCTCAGTAATACAGACGATTCACAAAAGTGCACTTCCCAGAGTTTGCAGCATGGCGACCAATCACAGTGCACCAAATCTGTCGATCCTTTCCAAATGAGGACATTGAGGGTCAACTTATTTCCCACGCTGTGATTGGTCAACGTGTTATAAACTCTTGGAGGCACGCTGTTGTGAAAGAGCATAAAGTTGGATATATTTTTACAGGTATGCATTCGGTTAGAATCAGTTGTACAAACTCTGCAACCTGCAGAACACTCACTCGTCTGTTCACTTATCTCAAGATTTCAAGTGACACCGACTGGATTCTGGCAATGTCTTGGCTTGACGCAACTTTTTTTTTGTTCCTCATGAAAGATGGCAGGTGCATGAAGGAGTTTCTTTCCTAACGCGTCATGCTGCCTTGGCTCATTTTCAGCGAAAATGAAAATCACAGCTTTGACCCTGACAATTAAGGCCAATGACCCGACACTGGGTACACCAATCACTTATGCCTGGCTTAATCGTTCTTTTCTGGGAAAACAAGAAGCCAATTAAGTGCTTCAAGAGCATCAAGTGACAATTAAACCGCAGATGACACTGGAAGCTGTCAATTGAGGCTCCTCCATCATGATACCTCATCCGCACAAACTGATGGAATATTTCAGGAGCAGAAGCCACAACATTGGAAATCCAAACCAAATAAAATTGGCGGCACAGACTGCAGAGATCTTGAATCTGCAGGCTTGGCTTCATCATCACCCATGCATGCCCTCTGGAGAGTTTCTTTCCAATTTTTTCCCTAGCTCTCCACGTTTTCGTGGTCAGTCATGCATGGTGTTCTTCAATTTACAAGAGGTATTTCCGCAATTGTTATTCAAGAGGGGTGCTTCCTTTTACCAATAGCTTGCCATTTTGCCATATCCTGCTTGAATCAGTCCAGGAAGTCTGATTAAAAAAAAAAGAAAAAAGAAGCTGACGCACAAGTATTAAAGACAAACTTCGGAATTTCAAAGTAAGAGGGCCGTATTGAATATCAAATCAGCTGAGCATATGCTGACACTTGCCTGGAATCTTAGCGACTCGCAGTGCGGCATAACAACGCGTAATCATCAATGAACGTGCAACATCAGTGCCCCGTAAGTCCCAGGGGATGCTAGATTGGGACAGATTGACCGGTAATTCTACCCTGAGTTGTTGCGCATTCTGGCGGTTGGATAACCCTGCTAGGATCACACCCACATTATCGGCCAATCCTGGCTGTGTTACCAGTTTCCAATTGCCTATTTCCAGAATTTTCTCTGAGTGTTCTGCCTAATGTTCACATCTAAGCTCCACATTCCTTGCAGTGCTTGGTTTAATGCATATGCTAATAATTATTACAATAATGTGAAACCGACAAACACAGAAGTTGAACCTAAACCACTCTTCATGCAGGGACATTTCTTCAAAGTTAAACCCTTGGTAAGTAAATACATGTAACTTCATGACGTGAATGCTCCTCTTTCATTTTATGAACAAAATGAAACACGAGAGCAAAGACTGAGAAAAATGAAACATGCCGGTGAGACAACATGAAAAGGTTATCAAATAAAAAATCCAACCAATATGTGCATCTACATGGACAGGTATTTATAAAAACATGTGCGTCATCAATACAAGTCACAAGGGATCAAGCCACTGCACAAATCCACATCAAACGAAAAAAGGCTAGAAATTGTTACAATCTCCTTTCTATTACAGCTACATACTGTACCAGTACATGGACCAGACCAATACATGTGGTTGCCCTTTTCTGAATGTCACCGTTTTCATTCATGCATGTCAACATGACAGTAACATTGAAATACCGGTACCTGGCCAGACAAATGCAACATCATATCAAACCATGCCTTTTTTGCCTACCGGTACCTGCAGCAGAAAGTGTGTATTGGTACATGAACATGAATACCAACTTGGCTGGGACACTACAGATACATGTACTGTACATGGGTACGGTTGTGCCATAAAAAGTGGTTGAAATGTGCACACATGTACATTTTACATGATTCATAGCATACTTAACCCCTTCGCGCCGGGAAGCGGCTATAGCCGCTGTAAAAATTGAGATCCTCAGCCCGCTTTTCAGCCATTATTCTCGGCCCACACTTGAGTGAACACGGTGAAAGAAGGTAGACCCCGGCTCTTGTATATATGGTAATTGGTCTTTGTGCGTAGCCCAGAAATAAAAAGACCTAATTTGCATCATAATCACCAGCTTCACAATAGTCCCCACTATGAAAAGAGGCAACGGGAATGTGGAAGGGTGAGCAGAGCGCTCAGGGCCACAAACCGAGAATTTGCCGTTTGGCAGGTGGCCTTTGTGGCCAAGCGAGGCTGGAATTCTTGGAGTCGGCTTTCGGAAAGAAATTCCCGTTGTCAAGGGGTTACAAAGAAGA